ATTGGCGGTCGGTGAAAGTTCGTCATCTTCAAATAATACATACGTGCAGCATCAACCGGGCGTTCGTGATGGGCTAGCTCCGAAAAGCCTAATTTACAAATCTCTAGTGCCTACCGAGTTGAGTAGAAGTGTTATGCGATGCTTGCGTACGTAAATGACACACGGAGAAATAACCGATTAACGCCTGTGTTCCACAGAAGCACCAGACCGTCATTAAATAAAAAGGTCAGTTTGGTGAATGTGTTAGTGATTCCCTTGAGCGGAAAATCTCGACGCTCGCGAAATTCAAACAGGAAAAAACACGCAGGAATTTAGACCAGAAGTTTGGAAATTGAACCCGACTCAAAAGCAAACGAGCCTGTGATGCATAATCTATCGCCCAGGCAGTTGAGTGAGGAAGAAATAGGAGTGCTGTGTCATGAAGCCAACTTTTCTACGGCAAATGCTAAGCCAGCCAAAGTTATCACTGCAAGTACAGTCATCCTAGTAAGAACCAACACAACCGACAATTCGAAGCACACCTGGTGCCAAAAAGTCGCCTCCCTATAAATGACGAAAAGGCACACAAATAACATGTCACCTGCTGATATAAATGTAATGAGAGAATTAAAAATGGACAAAGATATAAAAGTGCTACCAGCGGACAAGGGAAGGGCAACCTGTTAGGATGGCTGAGCAAGTGAGCCACCACCCTTGTAATCCAGACAGACAGACATCCTGAGTTCACGCCGGACAAAGGCGCGGGAACAAAGGACGCAACAGGCCAGTCCGGTGCACACAGAACGGGCCAAGTTACGCGAACTTCAACGGCAGGAAGCACGCGAGGAGGCAAAGGCGTTACGCGCACGCGAGACCACTGTCATGCTGAGGTCAGGCCTGGCCAGGCTTGGCCAGGGGCAAAGCGTGCGATGGACCGCTTTTATTACAATGGGAAGGCGCAACCTCTCCTCGACTACCAACAGTCATAGAAATCCACGCCTTCCTTACAGGCCAATTGATACGGTACCGGTCCGGTTCTACGGAATGCCCGAACTTCACAAGCCCAACGTTCCCCTTCGACCAATCGTTGTCTCGAAACACAGTCATATTTACAATCTATTCGAATGAATAGCCCGAAAAAAAAAATTTCCTCTGAGATGGCTCGAGGAGCTCAATGAGCAGGGCCTCTAATTCCTGGTCGCTTCCGGGTAAACGGTTTAACTCGCTTAAACCATGGCGTTTTTTGACTTGGTTTCATTATTTACAGTCATCTCATCCGTTCTGGCACGCCAGACAGTCGGAGAGAACTACGACAAATTAAGGGGTCCTCTTAAAACTGACCATCTACTACAACTTTCTGTCTTTTGCCAAATAACGTTTTCCTCTTCAATGGTAGAATCTAAAAGCAGATCAAATTGGCGCTGATGGCTCCCCCAATAGGCAGTCTACTTGCAGAATTGGTCG